TCCTGGTCTCCCCTTCAGCCTGTCCTTCCTGACCTCCCTTCCCCTTTGTGACCTTTTGTCCTCAAAGCAGCTGTTTCTGGGTCAAGGGCCTTCCTGCAGGCCCATGGCTGTGCACTGTCCCGGGTCAAGAGAGGGGACGGGAGACACCAATCTTCATTCCAGAAAGGCGGGATGTTGGGGGGGAGGCACGGTGCGGGCAAGGTGGGGCTCTCTTTCTGGCCTCTGGGTCCCACTGGAGAAGCATCTGGGCCCGAGGACACAGGCTCTCACTCCCCAGGACCCAGCCCACAGGCTCCGGCCCCGAGGCCAGGTTTCCCCGGATACAGCTCTGTCTCCAGGGATTTATTTTTGCACATGGCTTGGGAGAATCTCTGTTGCTGGAATAATGACAGCCGTTTTTTCCCCTTCTCCTTCCTTCCAATAGGCAGATTTTATAAACTAGAGCAGCTGCCTGAAGGTTTCCAAGAGAAAATTCTGCACAGTTTCTCAGCAGAGTGACAGTTCCCCCTCCACAGGAAGTTGCTTTTATTAGGGTGGTGGTTGTTTTTTTTTTTAATCTCTCTCTTTTTTTCTTTCTTTCTTTTTTTATAAGGTTCCATCTATCCGTCGCCAGGCAGTACCTTGGGCCTTGTGGCGTTTTTGTTTTTCCCCGGTTTGCCCGGAACTCACAATTACATCTAGACTACAGTGGCTTGCTCAACACAGATTCAGAGCTGAACCCCTGCTAAGTGGGTCACTCGAATCAACTGAGCAGAAATATCCCAGGTCAAGGTCAGCATCAATCGTGATAAGCCACGTTGACAGCATGCATCCTTGACCTGATGCGATGAGAAGGATCCTTTATCTCCATGGTCTTCTCCCCAAACCCATCACTCCAGTTGAACTATGGGAGAAACACCAGACAAACCCCAGTTTAAGAGTCTACAAAATATCTGACCATCAAAATCAAGGAAAGCCTGGCCGGCGTGGCTCAGTGGTTGAGCATTGACCTATGAACCAGAAGATCACGGTTCGATTCCAGGTCAGGGCACATGCCCAGATTGTGGGTTCGATCTCCAGTGTGAAGGCATGAAGGAGGCAGGCAATCCATGATTGTCTCTCATCATTGATGTTTCCATCTCTCTCCTTCCTTCTCCTTTCACCTCTGAAATCAAAAACTATTTAAAAAAAAAAAAAAAAAAAAAAAAAGAAGAAGAAGAGAGAAAAAAAACACACAAAAAAAGTCTCATAAACTGTCTCAGCCAAGGGCTGCCTAAGGGGACATGATGACTAAAAGTAATGAGGTATTCTGGATGAAATCCTGGGACAGATAAAAAATGAGTGAAATCTGAATGAAACGTGGAGTTCAGTTCATAATAAAGGACTAATGTCAGCTCCTCCGTCGTGAAAAATGTCCCATAGTAATGACAGATGTGAACAATAGAGGAAGCTGGGTCAGGGGTAGGTGTGCTATTTAACAACTTTTCTGCAAGCCCAAAACCATTCTGAAGTAAAAGTTTAGGTGTTTTTTTTTTTTTGTTTTTTTTTAAAGTGGCTCTCATGTTTACATCTCAGACCAGCCCAAGACCCAGTTCCCTTTGGCTCCCTCTTTTTGCCAGCATGAAGGATCCGAGCCTCTGACTTTAGGAGTATCCAAGCCCCTAGCTCCCACCTCATTTTCATGGCGACTCTCATCATTTTCAAGCCAGGGAAAACTCACTTCCTCGCCATTTCATACCCAACGAGCCTGGCACAGGGCCTGGCCCATAGTAGGTGCTAAGTTAACACCTGTCAAATGAATAAAACTCTCCAGGGGGATCTGTAAGAGGGGATCCAAGCAGAAAGCCAAGCTCTGTCCCTTCTTAGGCAAATAGTCATACCTGCTAGTCTCCATCCATCCAAGAAAATAAACTGACACTTCCCCGCAGGAAAGAACGTGGAACAGCTTTTCTTCAGCCAAAACCCTGCTCCCAGCCCCTCCTTCCGCAGGGGCCTCCATCCCTCATGAAGGTGCTTTCTGATATTCCTTCAGAGCAAAGACTTCAGACAACCTGGTAAGAAGGGGTAGAGTCTTCTCTTGACACTGCTTTGGGCAAGCACACAGATTTACTTAGGATTGAAATTGTTGGGGGTTTTGGTGAGCTGATGGAGATAATAAGGAGCAAGCTGACTCCTCCCCCTGCCCCCAACCCTATGGTGATGCCTCCACTGCCCCTTAGTACCCAGGGTGTCAGCTCTGGGCTGCCAAAAACCATCCGCAAAGAAGTTTTGTGCAGCCAGAACTGTTTGCTAGGTCTTGAAAGTCCATCGCTTAGCACATAGTAGGCACTTCACATATGTTCGTATTGATGGCTACCATGTATTATGCACCAGGTCCCGTGCTGGGAAGGAGAAGGGGGGGTTCTGTTTATTTGTGCGGCAGGCATTTCATCACCCCCATTTTACAGAAGCCCAAAGAGCTAGAGAAGCTGGCCCCAAGTCACAACTAGAAAGCATACCAGAGCAGTTTCCAATCCAAGCCATCTAAGTCCTACATTCAGCCGTTTACTCTTGCGACAGCCTCCTTAACATCTGCCCCTCCCGCGGGGTCTGCAGGGCCCCAGACAGCAGTCATTTTTAAGTCTCTTCCTTTTAAAACTTAATTTGCCAATTTCCCTCTTGGAGGTGCTTTTCGATATCCCTTCCGACTGTCAGCCTGGACAGGCCACAGAAGCAGAATCCGAAGAGACGGATGCTTATTACAAGCATTCAATTAGTGGCATTTGAATGATGCGGCCGCAGATACTCCATCCGTGCATGGCGGCGTGGACACACCCTCCCCCAGCCGGGACTGTAAATGGCCTTTTTCCTATGTATTGCTCCCTACCCAGATCTCCCGCACTCGGTATCATGTGATGTCTGCCCAGCCCCCAAAGTGCCTTCTCCACACACACTCGCCCTGATGGCCGAGTGGATGTATGAGATTTATGTCCCCTTCTGCTGAGCGGAGTCCTCCGGAAAGGCGGACTGACTTCCCAGGCCGAGATTCCTGCTCTGGCGGACTGGGCGGCCTCCAGCAGGAACATTTTAATACATCACTTATTAAAATGGACCCGGAGCCGTGGCCAAGGGCTCCCATGCTCCCCCCTTCCCAGCAGAGGGCAGCTCGGGGCCTTCGCTGACCACATCAAGCCCTGCCTCCTCCGATCCCTTCCGCAGATGTCTTGTGCGGCATAGCAGAGAGCCCGGCCTCAAAACAACAGACCCACAAAAGGAGCTTTCAGGCTGAAGGACGGTGGTTGCAGCTGAGACTGAGCCCGGGGCTGGGGTCAGACGACTCTGCTGCATCCCCATCCTGGAGCTTGGGCTCTGGGTTCGAGTCCCGTCCCAGCGACTGAACCAGCTGAGGGACCTACTGCAAGCTACTGAATGTCTCCGAGCCCTGGCTGCTTCTGCACAGTCAGGATGATCACGCCTGCTTCCTAGGGCTTTTGTGAGTGGGGTAAACAGCCGGAGCTTAATGAATGTGGATGCAGGGTAGTGTTTTCAGCCCTTTTGGTATGTCTGTTTCCTCCCTGACTAAGGAGAGGTCATGGTGGTGTTTCCGGATTGCTGGGCTGATTATGTGAAAGGATGGAAGGGCAAGCACTTCGAAATTGCACGGAGCTTTGATCAGGTCAAGTAATTACTCCGGGGTGTGAATACTATGCCTTCCGAGAGCAGCTTCCGTATGGCTCCTGCCCATCTTGGCAGGTGATGGCACACAGGAGGTGCACCCTGTCCCCATTCTCTGTGAGGCACCCCCGGGCCTTCTCACGGGAAAAGCCGAGCTTGGTGATCACTCAAGTCCCATTAGCTCCAAAATGCTGGGATGCTCCGGCGTCAGCAGGGAGCAGAGGCAGGTTCAGGAACAGGGGCAGGCGCCTGGGAAAATCAGGCTCTCCTTCCCAAGTCATCCTGCTGGCACTGCCAGTTCCAGCGTGCCCGTCATTCCTCATAATGACTGATAGGACCAGCTCTTCGCTGGGCCGTCCTGGGCTCTGGGCCTCCACTGCCTGGGAATGGGGAATGACACACACACACACACACACACACACACACACACACACCCGCCCCCACAGGCCCTCCGGAGCCCCTCTTCCTCCCCCCAGACTCACCCCAAGGCCTGTCTTACCTGACGTCTGAGTCACAGGCAGGCTCCTGTCACTGTGAGCTGTGTTGTGACTCCCAGGCTGACAGTTTTACAACAAACACATTAAAAGCTCCCGGCGCTGGGGCTCCTGGATGCAGAACAGCCGTTCTTCAGCCAAAATCCTTCTCCCAGCCCCTCCTTCCCCAGGGGCCTGCTCCACGGCCATTAACTGCCCTGAACGCAGGGGGCTGAGCAGTGTTTTCCTAAGGAGCCTTTCTGAGCGGTAATCGCAGGGAAGCTTCTGCGGGAGGGAGCCTGGACAGACACCCCAAGCCCAAGCCGTGGACCCCAGAGGACCAGACACATCCCTCATGCAAGGATCAGTGAACTCAGGAAAGAGAAGGGCGGTGTGGGTGGAGGCGCTAGCTCTTCCTGGGCCCTGCATTTTCGGACAGGTAGCCCTCAGGAAAGGATTACAGACATATGATCCCTAGTGCTAGGTATTGTGTTAATCCTCCCAACAGCCTGCGAGGTAGGAGCTGCATGATCCCCACTTGACAGATTTGGAAAGTGAGGCTTAAAGAAGTGAAGGGACTTGTTCAAATCCGTACAGTTACGAAGTGAAGGAGCTGGGATTGGAGTCCAAGTCTGCCAGGCTCCACACAGTTCTTAGCAAGACTGCCTTCCCCCACATCAGCCTCCTCTCCACACCCACCGGGGACGGCAGGAATCTCCGGGAAGCGGGGAGACCCAGTGGCCATCCACACAGTGAATGAACTTGCTCTTTGAACTTGCTGTCCAGCTGGTCTTTCCTACCAGCCCAGCCCAGCCCACAGCACCTTCCACTCTGCCTTTTTGCTTCACAGGCAAAAAGCAAGTCCCCCCAGAACCAAAGCAGACAAGAGAGGCGTGAGACACAGGAACAGTTCTTTTATTGTACATCGGAGAAATAGCCCTGTGTGCTGGTTAAAGGTGCAACATACAGAATGTCGAGTTAAGAAAAGAGGACCAGGGACGGGAAGGGAAGAAACCTCTTGAGATCCAAAGTTGCAAAAAAAAATAAAAAATAAAAAATAAAAAAAAAATGGTAGATTTCCTCACGCATGAGGCATTTTTGCAAATACCATGCAAAACAGGCAGCTGGTGTGCCTTAAGAGAACCCCTATAAATAACAGAAAGACACTCTAAAGCATTCCTTTACGTGGACTCAGAGCACGAAGAAAGAGAGAAGAAACCAAAATGCCTCTTGGCATTTCAAGATATTTGGCACTCTTGTGATTACATTTTTTTTTTACAGTCCATTAAAGAAAACAAACGGACACAATATCAGAGGAAAAAACAGGCTGCTCATCCAATAGACTGCAGAGAGAGGTTAGAAAAAGCTCAAGCATTTTTTTTTCTTTTTTTTCTTTTTTCTGGTTTCTCTTTCCTGACATATAAAAGGTATCCATTTGCATGAACTTGGGCAAATAGCTTGCAGCGAGAAAGAAACACAGCTTTACAATGCATTTGTAAAAAGAAACAGGGATGCTTTCTACGTATCCATCATTCCTTAGAAAAGTTCTCTGATCTTCAACACATTCCTGGTAACTTTGAAAAGAGGACCGAAATAACACAGGATTATCTATACAGATCATTGTCTGGTATGTTCTTTGTACATCCAAGGATAACAACATAAAAAAATAAAACTGAACAGCATTTCACATCCAAGTGCACGGAATTATTTTTGCAAGACTAAATAATGTAAACATTGGGAACAGCCAAATCAGCGAAGATTGCCACCACCTCAATCACCCGGGGGCTGCTGCTTCATTATTAAAGTGGCTCAAAATTCGGATCTATAACTGCGCAATATTCACTGTATATAAAAAGAAATGGATATTAATTTTGCCCAATAGCTGCAACTGAGACTTTATTTCTGTATAGGTGTGTATATAGTGATTTTGTTATTTTTGTTATTATTATTATTTTTTTTTTTTTTGCAGAGGAGCCCAGAGCCTTCTCCTCCTCCTCCTCCTTCTCCCGCCTCATCATCATCTGTCTCCTGGCCTGACTCGAGACACAGGTTGTTGATTCCATCGCAGGTAGCAAGCTAGTAATAAACGTCAACGTGCTTTCTCCTTTCACACTCTTTCTGCCAATAACCGCTCTCGCCGTCCTTACTCTTATCCTCACCCTTAACCCATTGTCTTTGGGGGAGTTAAATACCAGGAGGTGCCTTGTCTGTCATAGTTTTCAGCACGTCATCAATCCTATCATCTTCAATAACAACTGCAAAAAAAGGGGTGGGGGAGAGAAAAGGCAAAGTGAGCGCGCTGGGCCTCGCCAGGGGTCTCGGTGACGCCGGAGCAGGGGGAGACTGGAGGGGGCCAGGCGAGCAGACACAGCCCTATCCGCGGGGGCCTCCGCCCAGGGTCCCTCTGAGGCTTTCCTCTGAAACCCTCCCCCCAAACCCCACATCCCACACACCCCCCATCCACCCTCCACCCTCCGGCTGTGTCTCAGCTCCGTTCTAAGAAAAGGAATCGGAGAGAGGGCGCAAATCGCGCAGCCCCTGCGGCTTCCACCCCACCCATCTCACCCGCGGGGGGCGGGGGCATTCGTTTAGAAAGAAGGCTCCGGGTCCCAAGAGGGAGGGAGGGGAGGAGAAGCCAAGGTCTCCTGGTCTGGGACCCTTGGGGATGCTCCCGGAGCGGCGCGGGTCGCCACGCCTGGGCGGGGCAGTGCGGGGCGGGGGCGGGGGCGCGGACGCTGGGGGCCGGTCCCCGCGGCGGGTCCAGGGGTCCCGGCGGGCGGCCCGCCCCGGATCATCCTCGGCCCCTCCGCGTTCCCCGCCGCCGCCGCAGAGGTCAGAGCTCCCGCCGCTGCTCCCGGGTCTCTCCCGCCTCTCGCCTCGTCCTCCGCCTCTCGCCATCCCGACCCGGCCTCGCCTTCCCCATCCCCATCCCCATCCCCATCCCCATCCCCATTCCCGCCACCAGCCTCCCCTCGCACCGTCACCTGCCGGGGTCCCTGGGACTCTGCACCGGGGGCGGCGGCCGCTCCCATTGTTTCTGCAGCTTCTCTGCCCTCCCCAGGGCCAGCGTCCCCGCTCACGGTCTCTCCCGCTCCGCTCCCTATCCCGAGCTTTGTCTCGGGCTCACCCATCCCGGTCTCCACCCCCACCCCCACCCCCACCCCCAGCGGCGGGCTCCCTCCCGGTCTCCGCGCCGCGGTGTCTCCCGGCCGCCGCCCGCATCCTCTCTGTGCACCCGCCCCGGGAGCTCCCCTCGGAGCCGCTCGGCGCCCCGGTCTCTCCGGGGCTTCCCCAGCCCTCGCTCCCGGCGCCCGGGCTCGGCACACGCCCTCCCCCGGAGTCACACTGGGAGCCCCAAAGCGCCCGGACGTCCCCGCAGGAACAGGGTCCTCTCTCCGCACTCCCCGCGCCGTCCCGGGGGGGAGAAGGGGGGTCCTGGGACCCCACGGCCCAGCTGCAGAGCGATACGCTGCGCAAAGGGGGGTGGGGTGGGGTAGAAATCAAGGAGCAAACTTGGGTGCGGGCGGGGTCCCAGGGCAGCCCGAGCCCCCGCTGCGGCCCGGAGCGCCACGCCCCCCGGTGACCCCTCCGGGAAGCCGGCGGCGGCGGAGGGAGTCCGCGGCGGCTGGCGCCGAGCCGCAGTGCGGGCTCCCCGGTTCCGCACGGAGGGGTTCCCCTTCGGGTCGCCACGGGCTCCCGGGCGCGGGGGGTCCTCGCCAACCTCCAGCCAGGCAGCCCCGGTGCCCGAGGAAAGGGGGTGTCTGGGGAGGGGGGTCCCGCCCACTCACCTCGCTTGCTCCGGCCGATCTGGCCCAGCTTGGGCGGCCGCTTGCCCTGCCCGGCGCCGAAGAAGTTGCTGGTGTCCTGCAGGCGGCTCAGCTTCTCGTCGCCGTAGGGCAGCACCTCCGACATGGCTGCGTCCGGGGGCTCTGCGGCGGCGGCGGCGCCTCCTCCGCCCGCGTCCCCGCCCGCGGCGGACAGGTCAGCGGCGCTGGGGCCGGGGGCGGCCGGCCGGGACGGCCCGCGGGCTGCGGCGGCGGCGGCGCCGGTGGGGGCAGGGGGCGCCGCTGGGGCGGGAGCGCGGGGCCCGCCCGGGAGACCCGGCGAGCGCCCGCCGCTGGCTGCGCTCCGGCTCCGGCGCGGCTCGGGCTCGGCGGAGGGGCTGCTGCTCGGCGGCGGGAGCAGGACTCACATCCTCGGCGCGCTCGCTCGCTGGGGCGCGGGGCTGGCGCGGCGGCGGGGCCGGGGCCGGAGGAAGGGGGTCCCGGCGAGCTCCCGGGGCGCGGGGCCGAGCGGGGCGCGCTCCGGAGCCGGCGGGCCGGTGCTGCGGGCGGCGGCGGGCAGGTCCGGGAGGCTGACTGGGGAGCTGCGAGCGGCGGGCTGGCGAGGGGCGGAGGGGGAGGCGGAGAGAGGGGCGGGAGGAGGGAGGACACGAGGGGGGGTTACCCGGAGGGCGGGGGCGGGGAGAGAGCCGCCGAAAGGGAGCCGGGGAGACAAACAGAGACCGGGAGGGAGGGAGGAGGAGGAGGAGGAGGAAGGACAGAAAGAGCCGGAGAGAGAGAAAGCGGGGAGAGGGAGGCGAGGGGGACGGCTAGGTCAGCATCGGGGAGGCCGAGCCGGGGAGGAGCCGGGAAGGGAGAGAAGCCGGAGGGGGCGGGGGGGACTGGGGAGCCAGCCTGCAGCCCGCTGCGAGCCAGCAATGCCGGCCGGGGAGGCGAGGCCGGAGGAAGCCGAGGCGGCGCGGGGCGGGGGCCGGGGCCTCGGGGAGAGCTCCCTGCAGCCGGGCGACGTCACGGGGCCCGCCAGCCGGCCCGGGCCGCCGCTGGCTTCCTGCCCCCGCCCCCTCTCCCTCCCCCCTACACCCCCTCCCGCGGGTGTTTGCCGGCCCCGAGCCGGTACTGGCGAGGCGGCTCCACGCGGACCGCCAGCCCCGCCGCCTGCGGGGTCCCGGCGCGGGGGGGGGGGGCCTCCGGGAGCGGGAGGGGCGCGGGAGGACCGCTCACCGGGACGTGCAGGTGGAAGCCCATCTCCCCGGAGGCCCGGTGCCGGGGCAAAAGGTCCGAGGGCAACCAGGGGATCCGCGGACACGACCTTCCCTGCCAGCCTCAAACCAGGGCGCCCCTACCCCCCACGACCCCACTTAGGCCAACTTCGGACTCACTCTCCGGCCCCCGCCCCGTCCTCCCGGGGAGGCCCGGCCGGCGGCTCCCGCGGGGCCTGGGGCGGAAGCGGGGCGGGGAAGAGGGGAGCCCGGCTCCCGGAGGAGAAGGGAGCGCCTCGCTCCGCCAGGCTCACCCGGGATACCCGGCCCTTTGCCCTCGGGGACCTCCCTCCCAGCAACAGCCCTGAGCCCTCGGGAGAGAAGGCGGCTTCTGAGCGGAGGAGCGGGCTCCCTGGTCCCAGGAGGGACACTGGGGCCGCCCAGAGGCCCGGGAGGCGCCTCCGCCCGGCGCAGGCACCTCGGAGGAGGCGAGGGGGAGGCGAGGGGCCGGAGCAGAGCTTGTTATCCTGGTCCGGAGCCCACAGCACCTGCCCTCCCCCTGGCGACCGCACTGGCTCAGCAGAGCCAGCCTGGCCACAGCGAGGGGCGGCCTCCCAAGGTCATGCTACTGCCGAAGGCGAGGTTAGGGAACGCATCTAGGTCACCGTGGCGAGGTCGCCACTGGCTCCACCTGTTCACTCTCCCCTTCATGCTGGGTGGTGGGGGCGGGGAGGTGGAGGGAAAAGGGGGGTCCGTGATATAACATCCTGGAGAGAGGCTGCCTGACAGGAGTCTGCTCAGTCCCCTCCCCAACTGTTTTAAAAAGCCATCAGGCCTCCGGGGACCAGGCATCTGGGAGGGATGGGGGGAAAGGAAGAGGGGGGCTAAGAAATGGGGCAGATAGAATGAGGGTGACCTTTGGATGAGGCCTGGGTTTGAGTCCCAACCCTGTGGTTTGCTAACTGTGTGACTGAGCAAGTCATGGCTCCTCTCTGAACCTCATGATTGCAGCTATGAAGTGGCTTGAAACCAGCGATCTGCCTGAGTCCCTCAGAGGACTGTTATGAAAACAATGCATCAGGCCCTGGCTGATTTGGCTCAGCGGATAGGGTCTCGGCCTGTGGACTAAAGGGTCCCAGGTTCGATTCCAGTCAAGGGCACATGTCTGGGTTGCAGGCTCAATCGCCAAGGAGGGGGGGGGGGGGGCGCGAGCAGGAGGCAGCCACTCAATGAGTCTCATCATTGATGTTTCTATCTCTTCCTCTCTGAAATCAATAAAAAGATATTTTTCAAAAATGCACCAGGCTCCCGGTGCCTAAGAGGGGGTATGTACTAAAACATCTGAGAAATGCCTTCGGCATGAGTGAGAAAGAACAGTAATACTTTGTTCATTCCCATTCCAGAGGCCTCAGAGCTAGACGGTCCGTAAAGATGACCCCGCCAGGCTCCTCATTTCCAAATGGGGAAACTAAAGCCCTAGAGCACATGTGTCAAACACAAGGCCCGCGGGCCAAATCCGTCCCGCCAGGCCTTGCAATGTGGCCCGCACCGCGCTGTCATCACTGCACTCCGCTGCGTTTCCATCACAATGACAGTTTATGACTGTTCAGTAAACCATTCGGCCCGCGATTTAGGCTGGATTTTAGATTTTGGCCCCTTCTCTGATTGAGTTCGACACCCCTACCCTAGAGGGTCAGGGTTTTGCCTGAGTCCCCAGGCGGCAGAAGCAACAGGTCTCCAACCTCCCTTTGCTTCACGCTGCAGCCTCCTGTCCCCATTCATCCGGGCTTTGCATGCCATCCCTGAGGTTAGCACAGGGCCAGGTGCTGGGAGAGAAAACAGAAGCAGAACGTGCAGGATGGTCAAGGTTACAAGAAGCACGTACGCGTGTATCATGCTTTCCGTTTCTCCTCCAAGGCATTTTCACGCCCATCATTGACCTTGCTTCTCGAAACAAGTACCTTTTGAGGTAGGAAGAGATGCTGCCTCCCTGTGTAACGGATGTAGCACAGAGGATAAGGGACTCACCAAGGTCACGGGCTAGGTCATGGTCATGGGCTCTTCCCAGCTGTGGTTCCTCACAGGGGAAACCCCACAGTGGTGACAGTGTGCCGGGCTGGAGCCACCACGCTCCTGTCACACTCGCCTCGCTCCCTCCTTTGCTGCCGAGTGATGATGAAGCAAGCAATTTACACGGTGAGCACCCACCAGCACGCCAACTGTGCCAAAGTCAGCAGAAAGCCACAGAGGACTGGCATATCCCGGCACACACCGCGCGCCAGAGGAAGGAGAGAAGCCGGGTTTACAGCCTGTTTGTCTTCGTGTTGGCCTTGCCTCTGTCCCCACCTGCTCAGCGAACCACACGGCCCTCCCAGGCACATTTTCAGCCGAAACCAGTTTGGCTCAGTGGATAGAGCGTCTGCCTGCGGACTGAAGGGTCCTGGGTTCGATTCCGGTCAAGGGCATGTACCTTGGTTGCAGGCACATCCCCAGTGGGAGGTGTGCAAGAGGCAGCTGATCGATGTTTCTCTCTCATCGATGTTTCTAGCTCTCTGTCCCTCTCCCTTCCTCTCTGTAAGAAATCAATAAAAATACTTTTTTTTTTAAAAAAAGAAAAGAAAAGCATCTTCAGGACGGCTGCCTCCTTAGAACCTTCCTTTTCGAAGCAACGAGACAGGGACAGCCAGGCCCATTTTGCAGATGAGGTACCTGAAGGTTGAAAGGGATGTCGCCAAGGTCATGCACAACATCCGCAAGGGCAAGCATGCATCCGGGCGGCGTTCCTCCGCCTCCATCACTCCCAGCAGCTCCTTTACTGAGGCCTCACTCAGCCTCCACGTCCCCTCGCCTTCAGGGGAGGACCCCTGCGTCCCGGAGCCGGAGCCCGAGGCCTCGATACAGGAGCATCCAGAGGTTCCATTCCGCCTCCCCCACCCCACAGGGGGCTGGCTCAGTCGGCCAAGGCTGTGTTAGGTCAGAAGAGGCTCGGGCCAGATGGAGGAAGGGACCAACTAAGACAGGTGGGGATGTCCCAGCCCAACCACTCAGCGAGGTAGCCATAGCTCAGGGTGGAAGGGGCAGGTCCCCCCACCCCCGCTTTCAAATTCCCACTCTGCCACTTCCTGGATCTGTGATCCTTTCACCTCTTTGTTCCTCAGTTTCTCATCTCCAAATGGGGACAATAATTGTTCCCACTTGGTGATTTGTTCTGAGGAGGGAGAACATACATGTATCATATGCCGATACATGGTAAGTCCCCAATAGATGGACTTACTATGATTCGCTGTGGACTCTCTTTGTGGCCTTGAATAAATGGATTCTCTCCTCTGGGCCTCTCATTCTATTTCATAAATGGAGAAACTTGGAGAAAATCCCCCTTTTTCTTCAACTGCAAAATTAGCCAGTTCTCCTAAATCCAGTTAAAACCTGCTTGAGGCAAAGGGGGGGAGCTATCTTCCCCCTCGAACTCCACCTGAACATTCCCTCACCTAACCCCAGGATTTTGCAGAGCGGAGAGCTACAGGACGGCGCCCTATCCACGGGCTCGCCCAGCACAGCGCTGGCGGGTAGAAAAAGGGAGATCCAGCCCCAGCGGTGCCCGCACAGAGCAGATGCCCAGCACACATTAGCTCCCTCTGTTTGCTTCCCCTCGCTCCTGTCCACGAGGGGAAATAGAGGCACAGGCGGCAGCATCAGAGACCTGGAGGGAAATGTTGGAAACGTCAGCCTGACACAGGGCACCAGCCGGCAGCTCAGGCCCCAGGTCCCTCAGGGCTGGAGCCCTGGGGATGCTGAGCCTGCTCAGGGAGGGCTCCGCCCCTGCCGCTCAGCGAGGAAGGCCAGGATGGCCAGCTGGTCACCTCCAGAGGTAAGTGGCCTCCCCACAGGGATGCACCACTCTGAGCCGAGGCTGGATAAAAACCCACATCAGCCGGGACCGGTTTGGCTCAGTGGATAGAGCATCGGCTTGCGGACTGGAAGGTCCCGAGTTCGATTCCGGGCAAGGGCATGTACCTTGGTTGCGGGCACATCCCCAGTGGGGGGTGTGCAAGAGGCAGCTGATCGATGATTCTCTCTCATCGATGTTTCTAACTCTCTATCCCTCTCTCTTCCTCTCTGTGAAAAATCAATAAAATATATAATAAATAAAATAAAATAAAATAATTGACTGGGTAGCTTTAAAAAAAAAACAAAAAACCACATCATCACCACCCTTCTCCACTCAGTGCCTGGGACCGGGTGCAGCCAATTCCCCAGCCACCTGGAAAGGCAGGCCACAGGCCAGGGGCACAGACACACACAGCGAGAGAAAGCGTGTCACCTGACCAGCGGCAACTTGCATCTAGAGTCAAGAAATAGCAAGAGAAGACCCATTCATCTTCCCTTCATTCAGCCAGCATCTGCTGGGGACTCGTGGCAGGCACAGCCCTTCC